GATTCTGAATTCGCTTCGACTTCGGATTCTGGTCCAGACTCCGGTTCCACCATGGAGGCCTACCTAATTATTGGCCTGCCGATTTCTGCCGATTCGAATTCTCTCGACTCGGCTGCCGACTCCCGCCGATCCGATTCCTTTCGATCGCCGATCCGACTCATCGATTCCATTCTGGGCTCTCCTGGAGGACGGCTAGACAATGCAGAGTTGATGAGGGGGTCCCGCTTCCTCCTTGACTTGCTCCCTCGTCCATCCTGCCTCCTCTCCTCCAACTCTTCTCCTGGAGGACGGCTAGACAATGCAGAGTTGATGAGGGGGTCCCGCTTCCTCCTTGACGTGCTCCCTCGTCCATCCTGCCTCCTCTCCTCTTCTTCATCCTCTTCCTCCTCTTCCTCCTCCTCCTCCTCCTCCTCATCGATTCCATTCTGGGCTCTCCTGCCCCTCGCTATGGGCCCCGGCCCGCCTGCGCGCCCCTCGTAGGGCTCGTACAGGGCCAGTCGCTGGTTCGAGAGCCGACGGTGCGCGCTCGCGATCGTGCTGCCGCTCGCTTGGTGGTCCGCTTTTCCGGGCTCTGGTCGCGAGGATCGGGGGCGGCAAAGAGGGGGGCGATGGCTAGGCGGGGGTGGATATCCTGGCCTGGGCCATGATAGCTCCCCAGATCTCATGGCGCCCCTTCTTATCTCCTCGCGCCCCTGGCCCCCCCCGCTGGGCCGCGCACGTGCCGCCGGTCATGGCTTACAATTACACAATATGAAAATACTCTCCCACTTCCCCTGATGGCGTCCCGAAGATATCCGACCCCCCCCGCGTACTTTTTTTTACACAGGATTCCCGGGAAACGGGTTTTCGCCTGCGTTTTTTTCAAAATGCTGCTCTCGCTGAGGCTCTGGCCTCATTTCTGCTCCCGAATCGTTCCGAATCGTGCTCCCGCTGCAGCGTGGGCCTCATTTTCGGATCGGTGTTTGGCCTCCGTCGTTCAGGATGGCGTTCTCGCCCCAGCGCGGGCCTCTTTCTCGCGCGCCCATCCGCCCGCCACCACCGCGCCGCACCACCACCACCACCACCACCACCACCACCACCACCACCACCACCACCACCACCACCACCACCACCACCAGCACCACCACCACCACCACCACCACCCACCACCACCACCACCACCACCAGCACCACCACCACACCACAACCACGCACACACGCACGCACGCACGCACGCGCACCACCACCCACTACGCACGCGCGCGCGGAGCCACAGGTCCGCTACGACACGCGTCCGCGGATAGAGAAAATCAGCGCCATGGTAAGGGATGGGAGGGAGGGGTAGGACGTCAGATATGACGCGAGCGCACCTAGCTTGGCCCCCCCCTCTCTTGGACACCCCCCTCTTGGCCGCTCCAAAGCCTCGAGACGGGGGTCAATGCAAACGGGGGTCAGCCAGGGCACCGGATCCTGCAGGATCCTGCGAAGACCCCCTCTGGCTGACCCAGGTCAGCGAGCCGCTCGTGGCCGCGAGGCCGTCGCGCCTATCGGCTGACCCGGGTTTGCGCTCGCGCCGCGAGGCGGCCGCTCCCGAGAGGAATATACAAGAATAGCCAATGACAGCACGGGGACGATGCGCCCCCCCGAGCGCCGCCTCGGGCGGCTCCCCCCGGGGGGGGGGGGGGGGGGGGGGGCGCTCTTCGCCCCCCCGGGGGGAGGCGTCGAGACCGACGCCCGGGCTGCTCGGTGGGCCTGCCGAGGCCAGCCGGGGCCACAGCCAAGAACCCTAACAAGGACGCGCGACTTTGCTCAGGGCTTCGTGGGCCCTGGAAACGACAGGGCCGTTTTTTTACCGGTTCCGTTGTGCCGTTTTTTGTTGCCGGTTCCGACGCCGTTTTCTTACCGGTTCCGTCGCCGTTTTTTGATCGGCTCCGGCTCCGGCTCCAATCCTGGAGCCGTTTTCTTGCCGTTTCCGGTCGCCGATTTTTAGCCGTTTCCATGTTCAAGGGACATGTTTCTGGAAACGGTGAAAAAACGGCCCTGCCGTTTCCGGGGCCCACAAAGGCTCAGGGTACCCTTGCGTCCTTGCTCTTCCTTGCTCCTGCGTCCTTGAGGTCTTCGTCGTTTTCGCCGCCCCGAAAGATTCCAGCTTCGGCGTCCAAGGGCCTTGTGTCCTTACCGCGCGTCCTTATTAGGGTTTTTGACTGTACTCTTAAGCCGGGCAAATTCCACTATACAGGAGGGATCTGCAAACATAGATTTCAGTCGGGCCTGTCCCTCTACAGGGGGCACATTCAAAAGTAGGAAAAAATCGTCAGGGGACTATTTTTGGAGCATTGTTCTTTCATGTTTGAGCTTTTTGGGGGTATTTGTTGTTCTTCGTCGAAACGAAAATCCCCCTGTAGGGGGACCCGCCCGACTTAAAGAATAGATAGAAAAAAACAGCATGGGGACGATGGTTCGACTATTTTTTAGCTCATGTTTGATTATGTGCTGACTGTTTTCCTGTCTGTCCTCCAGAGCCGCCTGTATGGGGGACATGCCCGACCTGACGCGACGCCCATCGGACAGGGATAAGATTCTCCCAGAGCTTTCCGGGACGCTCTTTCGAACGGTCCAGGACGCTCGGAGAATGGCCGCGGTGCCCGAGACGTCTTGCAGAACCGCTGGATCTCTGAGATTGCCCTTTTAGACTTGTCGATGATCCTCAGAGCGTGCGTCAGCGCAGATTATGTGGGCGGGGGGCCAGCTTCTAAGAAGGCCTTCGCATCTTCTCGGACGGCGTGGACCTTCCAGGAGCATCTTGACTCGCCTTGCGAAACAAAAGCTACTAAAACGCGCGAAGGCGAACAAATATACGGGGAATGGACGGCCGAGCGATGGCAGGGACTCGGGGGGATCATACCGTTGAAGGAAGAAATGCATCAAGAGTTGGGGGACCACTTCGAATACACCCCCCCGCACCCTCCCGGCCTTGATCATATTGAGCAGTTGGTCCCGGAGATGAGCGTTGGCAAAAATCTGAGCCCCCAAGATCTCGATCGCGATGCATTCCGATATGAAGGCCCGGGGGGAGGCGAGGGGGGGACTTCGTTCTGTGTCGTCGGAGCGTTGTTGACGCAACGTTTTGCTCTTTCAACCGTAGAAGCCCTCGAGGCTTCCAGGAAGCCTTCGCAGAAGCGACGCCGTCAGGGCCCGACTGTGAGAAGGCCCCTGCCCTCTGAGGCGCCCCCTGGCCCTCTTGGCAGGCCGCCGCCCTCGCGCCGCCCCCTTCTGGAGAACTGCTGCTGCTGCTGCTCCTCCTCCCTCCCTCCCTCCTCCCTCCCCTCCCCTCCTCCTCCTCCTCCTCCTCCTCCTCCTCCTCCTGCTCCTCCTCCTCCTCCCCTCCTCCTCCTCCTCCTCCCCCCTCCTCCCCCTCCTCTCCTCCCCCTCCTCCTCCCCCTCCTCCCCCTCCTCCTCCTCCTCCTCCTCCTCCTCCTCCTCCTCCTCGTCCTCCTCCTCCTCCTCCGCCTCCGCCTCCCCGCCTCCGCCTCCTCCTCCTCCTTTTCCTCCTCCTCCTCCTCCTTTCCTCCTCCTCCTCCTCCTCCTCCTCCTCCTCCTCCTCCACCCCTGGCCCTCTGTTCCCGCTCCCGCCCCCCCCTCCCCCTCCTTCTCCTCCTCCTCCTCCTCCTCCCCTCCTCTTCTCCTCCTCCTCCTCCTCTCTGGCCCTCTGTTCCTGCTCCCGCCCCCCCCCCCTCCCCTCCCCTCCTCCTCCTCCTCCTCCTCCTCCTCCTCCTCCTCCTCCTCCTCCTCCTCCTCCTCCTCCAGCCAGTGTGGACCGAACGGCCGAAGGCTGGCCTCCACATTCGGGCCTCTGACGTTTTTTTCATGGGGCATGGCAGTGGGATTCCCGTGTGATCCGCTTGCCGTGCAGTCTGTTGAACACAGTTCCTCGTACACGATCATATGCAATCACATGGGGGGGTCAGGAATGGAAGTACAGATGGGCAAGGGACAGGGGATTCACGACTGCCGAAGTGGACGTGTGTAGTGTACAATCCATTATCTCTAAAGCACTCCGACAGATTACGTAACATCGTACACGAGTTTCGGTACCAGTCAATGTTTGCATTACCTGGGGCATCGGATGTCGGACGGCCTGATTACCCGGTTGTGACTGTGAAGCGTATTGACACCCACTTCGTGTACAGGTGGCCAGCTTTTCGAGGCAGTTCGTTCCCGCATCAGCCTGCAGGAGTTGCCATAGACATACGTTGCAAGTTGTTCAAGCAAACTCACGTGCGAAAGGTGTGTTGTCCTCCTGTGCGGTATCGTGGTCGATTCGGGGCTCTACGCATCAAACGGGGGGATGTGGATTTTTGTGTGATTGTGGTGTACATGCCCACGAACCCACGCACTCAAAAAGATGTCCAAAAGAGCTCAGAGTTTTGGGATTACGTGTTCAAGTTCGTCGCAGCACTCCCCGGTAGGTGTTTTTCTGTGCTTATGATGGATGCGAATGCGCATGTAGGATCGGGGCCAGCTTCAGCAGCCATCGGACAAGCGGAGCCAGCCAGGGAAAATGCGAACGGCAAGCTAATGCGGGAGACTCTGGAAGGGAACCACATGTGGGCTGTAAATACGAGCATCCCAACGGGGCCTACCTTTTACGGGGCTTTTCACACATCACGGGTGGATTACATATGTTTGCCACAGGTTTTCCGACACAGATACCACATGAGTAGGATCCTTTGGCATACGGTTGCACGGCTACAACTGATTCCAGTTCACGATTCGGGGCATTCGTCACAACATTTTGGTTACAGGGATCACGTACCTGTTCAGGTGAGTTTCCGACACGGGCTCACATTTGGGCACGATCTTGAAGGGGAGTGTGATTTCTGGGGGAAAGACCCAGGGCATGTATCTAGCACGCTTGTGTACATGTGTGTATCAAGCGCCGGCGCTTGGGCTCGAGAGAAAGGCGCTTCCCTTCTCCCACTGCAGAAGCGACGGGTCGAGGGAGCGATAGCGGCTTGGAGCTATTCGATCGAGTTCTCTTTCGAGATTCCCGCCGACGGCATCGACACGCTCGAGCGGGAGAGTTTCGACCAGAAACGAGGTTGGCAGCGGAGCTTGTGGTTGGCCCCACGATCTTCATTATAACGATTATCAAGATAATCTACACGGACACGGATTAGCCATCCAGGAGAGATGACGGAGCACCACAACAGTGCAGTGGATCCAAGAATCCCGGTGCTGAAGGGCGAGACCCTCAAGGATTTCACGAGGTACAAGCGCGCCGTGCAGGCGGCGGAGCTGAGCTGCGAGACGGAGGATCAACTACAGGCGCTCGGCCCCAAGCTGTATAGGAACCTGCTCGGCGCGGACAACAGCATCAGCGTGCTCATCGAGCAGACGGACGGACCCCAAGGACTACGCCAAGAAGGAGGGGGCCCGAGCGCTGCTGGCATACTTGGAGGCACAGCGCTTCGCCAAGAGCAGTTTTCGGGAGCTGCCGAAGGCATTCGACGCCTTCTTCGATCAGACGCACTTCGAGCGGAAAGGCGAGGAACCCATGGCGGCGTTCTGCACGGCCATGGAGGTGGCCAAGCGTAACCTAGAGGAGGTGGACCCGGACACGAAGATAAGCAGCAACGAGCTAGGGTACCACACTCTGAAGCGAAGCGGCCTCGACAAGGACGAGCGCAATCTGGTGATTGCACGGGCGGAGGAGACGTTTAACTTCCAGAAGATCAGCATGACGCTGAAGAACCTCTTCCCACGCGGCAGCGCGAAGCATCGGGGGCAAGTCAGATCGGGCTGGAGATGGACGATGAACACCGAAGAGGAGCCACCCGACGAAGAGGATCCAGGAGAATACTGGGTGCAGGACGATGACGGATACTGGCATGAATGGGACGATGAGCGTGGAATCCACGTGTGTACGGACGAGGGTGACGACAACAGCTGGGACTGCAGCGACCTGTTCTTCATCGAGGACGACGCGGACACGTTCCTGGCCGACGAGGACGACGACTACCGCAGAGCCTTCGTCACCCTGCGCGAGAGCCGCCTGAAGATGAACAAGCTTCGGGCTGCTCGCGGGTTCTTCAAGGGAAGAATCGACGGAGTCGTGGACGAGAGCGCGGCTGCTGGTGGCAAGGCGGCCGGAAGAAGTTTCTCCAAAGGCAACCCTGGCAAAGGAAAGGACAAGGGTAAGTCAAAGGACAATAGGTGCACCAACTGCGGCCGGATGGACCACGACACGGCGAACTGTCCAACTGGCGGCTCTACTGGCAAGACGGGCAAGCCCAAGGGCCGCGGCAAGGGACCGAAGGGAGTCCAACGACCACGACGCTACGGCTTCTGGGCGATGACGACCCTGGTCTGGGCCGTCCCGGCGTGCGTGAACTTCGTGGGTCAGATGACCGCCGTGGGCGAGCTGGCCGACAGCGCCGCGGTGCAGACCGCTAAGGACGTCTACGACATCATGACGGTGAGCGTGGATAGCGATCCGATCGTGCCGGAGAGGCTCGAGTTGGAGGTGCTGGTCTCGAAGGAGGCCGTGCCGGCGGCCCTGGTGGACAGCGGTGCGTCGGTGGCGGTCGCCGGGCGCGGCTGGCTGGACCGCGTCGCGACCGAGCTCGCGAAGTACGGCCTGAAGCCCATCAAGGTGGACGCCGCGCAGAGGTTCAAGGGACTCGGCGGCGCCATGCGCGAAGCCAAGCAGAAGTGGATCATCCCCATCGGCGTTGGGAGGGTCCATGCCATCCAGGAGTACTTCGAGATCCCTGGTGACATGGTCGGCCTCACGAGCAGGAAGAACCTGGCCGACTGGAAGACGAACCTCTACGTGCGCGAGGACGGCCACTGGGCGGACTTCCAGGAGCTGGGGGTCTACGACAAGGAGCTGGTGAGGCTTCCAGGCGGCCACGCGGGTATCGACATCTTCGACTACGACCTAGAGTCGTACGAGACGGAGCCGCTCTTCGAGAAGTTCCGCATCCACCAGGTCGACCCCGAGCCGGAGGTGTTCCTGGTCGCGGAGACGCTGCAGGAGGTCAAGCCGGACTTCCAGCTGAAGGACGACGCCGACGCGTGGGTCGCGGAGGCCTTGAAGAATGGCAACAAGGGCATTCTCAAGAAGAGCACGGTCAAGCGGATCGACAAGCCCATGAGGGAGTACGAGGTGATATTCGACGTGCTGCGTGACAACTCGGAGACCTTCCTCTGGGAGCTGTTTGCGAAGGAGGCTCGCTTTACCAGAGCGGCCTCGAGAGGTGGTCACGCGAATGCGACCCCTTCAGATCTGTCGGTTGGTGTGAATTTCAATGACCCCAAGGTTTGTTCCGATTTCCTGTTCATGATCAAGATTTTCAAGCCTTGGATGGTTTCAGTCGCGTTTCCTTGTACGCCCTTCACGAACATGCCGGAGTTTCAGCGGGCACAGGGCATGGGCGACTGGGTCGATGACATGGTCGAGGAGTTTACGCCACTGGTCAGCTTCTCGGCGGACGTACTTCGACTACAGGCTGAGGGAGGACGAATCGGTATCGGCGAGAATCCGTTGACGAGCCGAGCGTGGAACCAAGAATCGATGACGGACCTGACGAGCTGGAAAGACGACCGGCCACCATCCTACGACACGGTCACGCTGCACCAGTGCATGTACGGGCTCGTGGACGAGAACGGTACACCGATTCGGAAGGCGACGCGCATGCTGGTACCATATGGGTCGTGTTTTCCTTCCTGGCTGGAACGCAGATGTGACGGAGGTCACGCACATGCGGAGACGGTCGGCCGGAGCGCGATGCTCTCGCGATCGGCTGCGTGGCCGGAGGAGCTCGGCAAGACCTTGGTCAAAGCCAGGACGCACGAGCTGGCGATGCGCACGACCTTGAAGGAGCTGCGAATCTGGAACAACGGGGAGAAGATTCCGAGCCGACCAACTGTGAATGGAGTTGCGAAGGCATTCAAGCTGAGAAAGGAGTTGATCGACGTGCGCGTGCTGAGGGGCACCGAGGAGATACCACTACCTCGAGGAGCTGTACGGCGTATCTACGCGATGTACTCCAGCGAGGGCTTGCTGGCCGACTACTCGGATGCCTACGCGGACGACTCGGATTTCCAGACGATCGACCTGGCGGAGAGGTATCCCTCGGACACGGTCGTGGCGATCTACGTGAAGGAGCCGAAAGTGCAGACGTCCTACCCTGCGACGGTGTTTGCCTATGGAGCCACGCCGAAGGAGTTCAAGCCAGACGATCGAGACGCAGACGCAGTACATCGAGACCTACACGAAGAGGGGAAAGGTTTCGGGGATAAGCCCCCGGACATCACTACGGCCCAGTGGGGCGCTCTTCGGAAGCTCCACTTGAACCTGAGCCATCCGTCTGCACACGCCCTCAAGCGACGCCTGAAGTCCTACGGGGTGTCGAAGGAGGTGCTCGAAGCGGTGGACAAGTTGGACTGCACCGTGTGCAAGGAGCTGGGCAGGCCGAACACCACGAGGTCAGCCAATCTGAAGCTCTCGACGGAGTTCAACGAGAACGTGTTCCTAGACGAGGCCGAGGTGATCCTCTCGGACGGGACGCGGCTGATGGTCATGGTTATCCTGGACGACGCTTCGAGCTTCAGGGTGATCGTTCCGACCACAGCTGTGCGATCGATTGCGGGCGAGGAGAGCCTACGGTGCTTCTCGCAAGGTTGGTTGTCGTGGGCAGGCCCTCCGAAGCTGCTCTACTACGACGCGGCGAAGGGCCACATCACGAAGCGGTTCGCGGAGATCGGTGACAAGTACAACATCCTGATGAGGCCGGTCCCGGCGGAGGCGCCTCAGCTAAAGGGAAGAGTCGAGCGTGCCATCGACTTCTTCAAGGATCATTTCCAGCGCCTGAACCGCGACGTGCAGCTCACGAAGAACGACGAACCAACGGTATGGACTTCAGTGATAGCGAGCACGTGCAACAACCACATGCGACGCAACGGTTTCACGCCCTGCCAGTACGTGCTGGGGAAGTCGCCCGGGACTCCGACTTCGCTGATCGAGGCGATGGAGGGCGACCAGAGGCAGCTGGCGGCACAGAGCGCGGCACTCTTCGAGGACGGGCCCCGGCGGGCCGAGCAGATTCGTGCAGCGGCGAACCGGGCGTTCTTCGAGCTGGACAGCGACGACGCCGTGAGGAGGGCCACTATCGGCCGAGTCCGACCGCCACGAGGACCATTTGTGCCGGGCCAGCTGGTGTTCTACTGGCGCGAGGTGAAGCACGTGAAGTCCAAGAGGCTCCAGGGCGAGCTGGGATGGCGCGGCCCAGCCATTGTGCTGGCGACGGAGGGCCACACGAGACTGCACCTGAGTTACCGAGGGGTGCCGGTGCTCGTGACGCCCGAGCAGGTGCGGCATGCATCGCGCGACGAGGCGGAGATGGTGGAGAACGAGGACCTTGTCAGGCAGCTTTCGCAGTGGCGTGGAGGACCCACTCTTCAGAAGGGGTTTATCGACGAACGTGGTCCTGGGCCTGAAGGAAGCCAACAGGCAGACACACGACGCGAGAGGAGCAACGACGACTCGGACGACGAGGACGCTAGAGACGACCTGCCGATGACGAAGGTACCTCGCACCGAGCCGGCCTCACCACCTCCGAGACCACCACCAGTGGAGGCGACTCCAAAACGGGAGCGCGTGATAGAGGAAGCACCTGGAGCTCAACCTGGAGGACTACCAGAAGTACCACCACTACCCGGCGACGGGCCGGGACTTCAAGTACACGGACCAGCATGCGACCCACCTGCACCTGATGCTGCTGGGTAGGGGCACTCCATGGACCTGGACGCAGCTGCTGTGCCAGGTAATCCGCATCATGAACCTGAGCGAGCCGAACAGCCAGGACAGCCAGAACCTATACCACCAAAGGGGTTCAAGAGGCCACTTCCTGATGACCGGCTGCAAGACAAGGAACGTCTTCGACTACGACGCGAAGCTCTCAAGGGGGCTGCTATGCGTTTGCCGCGGATTCCTGACGATCCCAGCGACCTTCCAATGGGGGACGACAGCGCACTCTACGTCAAGGTGAGCCGCGCGGTGGAGAAACGCACGAGGGATGCATTCCTGGCAAGGAGGACCGATACAGCCAAGAAACAGGTTGCACCTAAGAAAGGTCGAGAACTACGCAGCATCCCGGCAGAGTGGAAGGAAGCATTCGACGCGAGCGACCTGGACGAGTGGCGCAAGTGGATCCAGTACGACGCCGTGGAATGGCCGACGGAGAAGGAGCTCGCAGGGGTCGAGAAGACGGACGTCCTGCCGATGCGGCGCGTCCGGACGGACAAGAACGAGCCGACGAGGGGCAACCTCTCGTACGAGCAGCACCCGCTGAAGGCGAAGTCGAGGAACATCGTTCCCGGGTACAAGGACAAGCAGCTGCTCGCCGGCGAGTTGCAGACGAACGCGCCCACGCTCACGGACACGGCCACGGCGGTGATTCTCCAGGAGGCGGCCAGCCAGGAGGGCTGGACGCTGGAGCAGGGCGACGTCGACTCGGCGTTCCTGAATGGGAAGTACCTCGACAGCTCACGACGTGTTTATTTTCGAGCTCCCAAGGGCGGTCTACCGGCAGTCCCGGAGATGGGCTGGCCGTTCGTGCCCGAGGGAACCATCCTGAAAGCGAAGAAGGGGATCTACGGGCTGAACGACGCACCTTTACTGTGGCACGAGGAGCACCGCGACACCATCCTGTCATTGCCCGGGGCTTCGAGATCCAAGCTGTGCCCGGCTCTCTTCATCTTCCACGACGAGAGCGGGAAGCTGATCGGCCTCATCGGGACTCACGTGGATGACGACTTGGTCGCGGGTTCGCCCGAGTTCTTCGCGAATCAGGTGGCGACGCTGAGGAAGATGCACTGCTACGGCAAGTGGCAGTCTGCGCGGACAGGGTTTCACCACTGCGGGCGCTTCCTCAAGCAGAACGACGACGGCACCATCACGTGCAGCCAGAGGGAGTACACGGAGAGCATCGGGAAGATTCCTATTTCGGCCGAGCGCCGGAGGAACAAGGAAGCGAAGGCCACGGCTGAGGAGAGGGCGTTGCTCCACAGCGGCAACGGCCAGATCCAGTGGCTGGTGCGCTCTACGCGTATGGACTTGGCGTTCCGTCTGGTGGAGAGTCAGACGAGGGCTCACGACAGCGACCTGAAGGTGCAGGACCTGCTCGACTTCAACAAGCTGGTGAGCGACGCCAAGACAGACCACGTGGACATCACTTTCCAGAAGACAACATGGACGATGCGATCGTGGTGGCCATCGGGGACTCAAGTCACGGCAACGTGGGCAAGACGAAGACGGCGAGCCAGGCCGGACTGGTCATCCTGCTAGCGGACAACAAGGACAACCAGTTCCTGCGCGGGATGCCTACCAAGATCACCCCCATGCTGTGGCGCTCACACCGCATTAAACGTGTAGTGCGCAGTGCCCTTTCGGCCGAGACGATCGCAGCTTTGGAGGCGGTCGAGAGTGGCGACATGCTGAGGCAGCACCTGGTGGAACTACACTACGGACTGGGCTACCGGACCCACATGGAGGACGTCAAGGCGATTACCATGGTGGAGGCCACGGATTGCAAGTCTCTCTACGACCTGCTGCAGAAGCGCGGCACGGTTCCCTCCGAGAAGCGGCTGCTCATCGACATCGAGGCGCTCAGGAACGACATCGAGTTCAACAACGTGGTGAGCAAGTGGGTGAACACCAAGCAGATGCTCGCCGACTGCCTCACCAAGCACGACGTGCGCGCTGGCGACTACATGAGGTACGTCCTGCAGACGGGCGAGTACCGGCTGACCGAGGACCTCATGGCGGACCAGGTTATCCATCAGCAACGGACGGAGCTCAAGGGACGCAGGGGGGAGTACTACCGCACGAAGTACCCCAAGCGACAGCGACCTGCCGATCAGCCTTTCGTGCACGAGGGCTACACGTACTTCGAGGACTGCATCGCAGACGTGAGGTACAATGCGAAGGTCGTCAAACCTGCTCCGAAGCCATACCTACGTTGGCGGATGATGCTGGGCCAGCGCGAGAACGATATCTACTACGAGAAGCTCGAGGAGATGGTCGACTGGTCCGGCTTGGACCAGGTGGTGAAGCGTCGGACGATCCCGACGCACGTGCGTAAGTTGCTGACGGTCTACGCACCGACCAAGGGGGCCCTCGAGCGCTACGAGAAGGACTTTGCAGAGAAGCACACCATCAAGAAGCCAGATGCGACTGAGGATCCAGAGGACAAGGAGGAGTTGAATGTCACATCGGAGATGGAGATGCATGTGGAGTCAGACGTGAATGCCAAGCTGGAGTGCACCGACGACACGAAGGAGATCTACATGATGGACGCGACGGGGGCCGACGCTGAGGAGATCAGAGCAAGCCCACAGGGAGGTGCAGCTGCGGCGTGGACTACCATGGTAGTGTGTACTGTGTGTCGCATGACGGTGGACCAGTGCGAGTGCGGACCGAGGACACGGAAGAAGCCACACAAGGACAAGGCCGAAGACAAGAAGGTCCCCAGCGACATAGACGAAGGCAGCTGGCAAGAAGTCCCGAGTGTACGCGCCACATCGGCGACATCGCCGACGCCATCTAAGAAATTTATGCAGAAGGCATACCGTCTACACGAGACGACCGGACACGCTCCCTACGAGAAGATCGAGAGTGACTTCGGAGACGTGCTGGAGGACGGAGTTCTGGAGGCGTACCGTATGGTGATCGACGAATGTGCAGTGTGTCGGAAGGCAACCCAGGAAGCTGGCAAAACCAAGTACACCAAGAAGTCAAGTCCGACGAACACGAAGTACAGGACGAAGGACCAAAGCAAGCACATCGACCCCGACCTGTGCGAGCACCCGACGGACAAGCAAACGAGAGCAGGGACCAACCAGTATAAGGAGAAGATCAAGTGCACCGAGTGCGGGACCCTACTCGTGGAGCGCGACACGCCATAGTGGAGCGAGGAGAAAGTGCGTCGGGCGCAGGCCAAGGCGGCGAAGGCACAGATGGAGAGGCAGGCGTATGTGCGGGGAGATACGGGCTCGAGTTCTTCCAAGAAGTAGTTTTGTGTTTGGTTACATACATATTTCATGAAGTTTGATTTCGTAGACGACACTATGGATTATTTCATATACGACGGCTTCGCCGATTACCTTGACTTCATAGAGTACTGAGTTTTGCGAGTTTGCCCGGCGCTCGAACGAGAGGCAAGCTTAGCTAGAGAAAATAGTATGAATGTGATTTCTGGGGGAAAGACCCAGGGCATGTATCTAGCACGCTTGTGTACATGTGTGTATCAAGCGCCGGCGCTTGGGCTCGAGAGAAAGGCGCTTCCCTTCTCCCACTGCAGAAGCGACGGGTCGAGGGAGCGATAGCGGCTTGGAACTATTCGATCGAGTTCTCTTTCGAGATTCCCGCCGACGGCATCGACACGCTCGAGCGGGAGAGTTTCGACCAGAAACGAGGGGGAGGTTTCGTTCTCTTGGGATCGCGATGCACTGGTGAGAGGTGTGCTGTTTGGAGAAGGCAGGAACGAGTTTATTTCTTCTGTTGAGGAAAAGTGTTCAGATGCTCAGTGGCGACCCGACGGACAACATCCGACAATGGTATGGGAATTCTTGGTTCGTGCTGTGATCGAGGCAGGACGGGGCTTGTATCGCAAGAAACCTAGAGCTCAACGTCCGCGCCCCACCGACACCCAAGAAGCTAACGACTTGGTGATCACGCGACGGCGCGATCTTGTCACACACATACCCTTGGGAGATCCGGGATTGAGGGATAGAATGCGAGATGATGTGTATCTCATGCAGGACTTGGCAGACATCTTCACAACGTGGCATCTTCTATCACAGTACACTGCTGCACGGCGTAGGTATGACATGTGCGTGCAGCGGGACAAGCAACAATGGCAGGACGAGAATGCACGTGTATTCCAGGAGGCGTGGCGCGCGCGCGACCTGCACGCCATGCACTGTGCGGCACGTGTGTTGACGGGGAAGTCTCTAGGTCCAAAGCGGCGCCATTACGACGCGCCCTTGCGTGAACGCCCGGACCAGGATGCCAGGCGCAATTATCTATCCCAACCAGGCCCTCTGGGAGGATGCACGGCCGATGCGGTGGAGTGGCAAGTTGCACGAGACCAACACGTGCAATAAGCACAACCCAGGGCATTCACACCGATGTTAGGCATACTAGCTGAATACGTCGTCCGCCGGACCAGCAACTACGTTCACAATTCCCGTTTGCGCAGGTCGTGCCCCCCTTGGTGTGCACCAGTGGAGCTCTGGAGGCAATTATTTCGCCCAGATTTCTCACTCACGCGACCCCGGATGGGGTTGGGAGCTGACGGGACCCCCCCGCGGCACCAAATTTCATGCGTCGGGTCCATCAGTTGCACGTTGAAATACGCAGACACAGCCAAACTCCCATTTGGTGGCACAGGTCACAAACGTTCCAAATAGATAAAGGGAATGACAAGGATGGTTGTGGTGCGGTGCGTTTGGTCAACTCTTTGGACCCGTACGGGAAATCATTTTACAGTCACCTCTGGCAGGCTAGCAGTCCTAAGTCTTACAGGCATTACGCTTCCGGGTACTATGCTAACAAATCGCGATTGGAGTCTATGGTGCAGCAGGCTGCTGTTTCGCATCGCCTTCGGATGTCTCGCATCAGCCATAGCAGCGACAGCTATGACGTGGCAAACGCCTTCCCGTCCCCTGCCCATGAGAAGCTCGATCATGCAGTTGAGCGACTTGCACGGGAGGAAGACAAACAATTGTTCAAGCAACGGTACCGCGACAGTGTGATGACGGTGACGTGTTCGGACGGTATCCTCAGCGTGCGTCCACGATCTGGTGCTCTGCAGGGTGATTCGGTTGCTTCGTCACTGTTTTTGGAAGATTACCACCTACGGGTAGACAGGTGGAGGGAGGTCCTTCGCCATGAAGACCCTTACTCGCCACTGGACGTCGTGGACCCTATCACGCGACAGCCAACACGGTTGGATGTTTCATCGTACGCTGATGACATCCATAAGAAAACGATCGCCGACACACCCGAGGATATGTTCGCAGAGGTCACCAATTCAAACATGCACCTAGACGATGCACTCGGGGATGACATGGCACAGAATCTGTCAAAGCAGGAGCATACCGTGTGGTTTGGGGGGGACAGGGCGCACGAGTACATCAAACAAACAGTACACGACGCCATACTTCCTGGGACGACGGCCTTATCTACCAAATCTCTGGGTGGGATGTTTCATTTCCGAGGGTGCAACAAACCACAAATAAGACGAGCCATACATAATGCATACGTGGGGTGGTGCACATATACACGGTTGTGGTATCGAGCGCACTTGCCTACACATGCTGTCCGGATTATATTTCAGGGTATTGTGATAGGCGCACTGTACTCGGGTCTGGAAGCGCACGTTCTTTTGCCAGGAGAATACAAGATGTTAGACCGTTTTGTGTTGAAGCTCGGGCGGAAATTAATGAGAGGATGTGTGTGCACGCGTACAGTATATGTGAACGGTGTGATCAAATACACGTCAGTACCGAATACTACAGTATGGAGGTTTCTACACATGGTTCCGTCGAAGCTAGAACTAATGGTACGGCGCTTGCGATGGTACCAACAACTAGCTACACACCCCCACCTACACGTGAATGTGTTTGCGGCCATGTTTGAGCAATTGCGGTGCGAAGTGCGTCCGACTGTGTTGCCGGATGGTATTTTGGGGAGCGCTGCCGACATCAATCCATGGGCACAGAGATTCCAGGAGGACATGCTGGCGTTGCAGAGCATTGACAGAGGCCAGGACCTGTTGGATTCATTACACGGTAGGTACACAGAGGTATTTCATCCGGGGAGGGCACGGGAAGATTTTGTGCGCTTGGACGTGCACGAATTGCGTACGCAGTATTTCGCTGTCGTCATCCCGCCGCCTGGATGGACACCACCTGCAGTGCATCCGGAACCCCAGCCCCCACAGGAAGAGGAGGAAGTTTCGTGCGTCTGCACCCTCCGTTCGAGCGGGGGGGCCGTGTGCGGAGCCAAGTTCCCATCCAAAAAGCAGCTCATCATCCACCAGCGGATGACTAAGGGAGGGGACCATGGACAACTCCAGTACGCTGACGTTGCCACTGTGACGAACCAGTGCCCCTGGTGCAGGTGTGTGTTTCCATGCTCGTGTAACTGCGCGTCGACACATAGCACTCTCTCTCCGAAACAAGGCTTGCACGGGGAAGGGGAGCATACTCACCACAGCCCCCACTGTGCCGGACGAGCTGGTGTGCAGACAGTGTGGACATGAATGTGATGATTTACTGTCTTTGCTGGATCATGTTACGCAGCACGTTCCAGGGCCATTTGTCGTCACCCCTTGATTGCATTCTCCTGAGTGGAACAGTCTCTTGCCCCATTCCTTCCCCACATCTCCCAGCTATGGAGGGGTGGTCGCTGAAGCGAGGCGCTCCGGCGGGGGCTCCGGCTGCCAAGAAGATCGCGGCGGGCACCGAGGAGCTGCTTGCCCAGATTCTCAAACTCGTAGCTGCCCTCACGCTGAAGAACAGCCTCGAGATTCGCGAGCTCCAGGCGGCAACTTTCGCGATGGTGTTCTGCCAGACAGACAACTCGTACATTGCAGAGGCCCGGCGCACGAGCAAGCAGTACGCTGACGCTTGCAAGGCTGCGGCCGAGGGCAAGGGCTCGAAACCTTCGGGTGAGCCCCATGTGCATGTCTGGGCTAATCTCACAGCCATGGCGGCAACAGATGAGCATTTGACAACGGAAGAGCGGAATTTGATCACCAATCACCGAGCTGCTGCAGCGGATCCAGATGCCCTGGTCCATGTGGTGCACGTGTGCAAGGTGCGCAAAGCATTCCGGGACACCAATAAGAAGCTCTTTCTTGCCACGGCTCCGGAGGCCAAGCAGCTGACCAACATCATGGTCAAAGCTATCTGCGCTGCCGGCGGGGTGCAGAAATACGGCCAGGCGCCGCGCTCGGGAGGCGAGCGCAAGCTCCAGACTTTACTGGATGAGCTTCGCAAGATCGTCCCCGACGATGCCGACAGGGACTGCGAGATGTGAGGTAGCGCGTCGTGCCAGCTTCCCGTCTCCATCTTCCTCTTCCCCTCCCCTCCCCCCCCGCCCTCCCCTCTCCTTCCCCCGTGATCAGTGTATTTACTGTCATCTTATGTGCCTCCGGGGATTTGGGGCACCAACAGACTCGCGGCGAGTCCCTCGGCGCCCTGTGCCCGCCGTTCCGTCTCCTGGCGGGGCGTGCCCAGGACCCGCCGTGAGGGCATCCGCCCGTTCGCTTTCGTGGGGCGAGGGCTCACACGACCGGTTCCGGAAGCGCGCTTGCACGGTGCGCGGTGCTCTGCTCGGGACTCTTGTTTCCCTCACGCAGTGGTCAGTCAGTCTCCTCCTCCTCCTCCTCCTCCTCCTCCTCCTCCTCTTCCTCCTCCTCCTCCTCCCCCTCCTCCCCCTCCTCCTCCTCCTCCTCCTCCTCCTCCTCCTCCTCCTCCTCCTCATCGCCCGTGCTTCTTTGTTGCCCCGCGCCTGCGACACTGTCGCGGCCGCCGTCGGCGGCTACTTCGGCGAGGCAGGGTCGCCAACACCGCTCTCTGCCCCCATCTCAGGCTGCGGGTCGGCGGGAACCCGCGCCCTCCCTGATTAGTCTCGTCTCCTCCAGCAGTCCGTCCATTCGATTGGCGGCGAGCGAGGGGGGAAATGATCAGGAGAATGCCTTCTCAAAAGGTTCGGAAGTCCCCCGACCCTCTGAGAAGCTGTTTAAGCTTACCCCGCATACAGAAACAAACTTCTCATAATGCGCGAGGGCTTCTGAAAAGTCCCGCCGCCTTCTGAGAAGGCCGGCTCAGAAATTGGAGCAGCACAATAGAGGGCCCGCTCTACCGCAGACCGCACCTCCAGGGTCACATCCTGG